AAGCTGGAACGATTAATCAAAATACAAGTATATGAGAATTCAAAAACTTTACAATGAACTTTGGTTATAATAATTATTTAATGCTTTAATGTTAGTGTTAGACTAAAATAGAATTCATTCTATCTAATAAATATTAAATTATACTATAAAATTCAATATTAAAAATTACCAATTTTAAATTTAATCCATATTAAGTTTAAACTTATAAAATTATTTAAAGAAGAAACTGAGGAAAAAAAAAAGAAATGCATATATTTTTCTATTTATTTTGTTTTTATTGAAATTAAGCTGGAATAAACGTTAAGATCTAATTGTCGGACATTTTCCATTTCATAATGTGCGACGTCATTTGTTTACATTTGATACGCCATGAGCAGATATGAATGTACGTGGGAGATTCATAGAAGATTGAAGTTCAAATACAGTAAAATCGATCTTGCTAACCGAACACTCCTCTGTGGCCGAAACGGTTAAAGGCACGTCAGGCTATATGACAGATCCGTATAGGATACAGGTTCGATTCCTGTCAGAAGACGAAAATTTTCTATAAAAATTTCTCGGACATTCAGGCCGGTAAATCTTGTTTAATACTGTTTATTATAAAAACAGAGCATTTACTTAAATATTTGTATCTATAAACATAAATGATTGTCGGACTTTGTCCATTTCATTATATATATATATGTTTATTCCAGCTTAATTTCAATAAAAACAAAATAAATAGAAAAACATATGCATTTCTTTTTTTTCCTCAGTTTCTTCTTTAAATAATTTTATAAGTTTAAACTTAATATGGATTAAATTTAAAATTGGTAATTTTTAATATTGAATTTTATAGTATAATTTAATATTTATTAGATAGAATGAATTCTATTTTAGACTAACACTAACATTAAAGCATTAAATAATTATTATAACCAAAGTTCATTGTAAAGTTTTTTGAATTCTCATATACTTGTATTTTGATTGATCGTTCCAGCTTATGTAACAGTGTTTCTCCTAGCAAGGGATGTTTGATTGATTTGAACCTTTTAAAACCCTTTATTCTACATTCAACACCATCACTTGATAAGACACTAGTAGTGTTGAAACAAAATAACTATTTCTGTAGTGATTTTATAACATACTTGTTATAATTTTCGAATAAATAATTATATATATATATTTATATATATATATATAAGCAAAATAAAAACGAATATAGTCCAATTCCGACGTTCGTAACATTCAATTTAAAAGAGGGTTCAATGCAAAAGTATAGCAGTATACTTTATTTTAGGATATTATATCAAAAGCATGTTTTTAATGTAATATCCGAAAATAATATATATATATATATATATATATATATTATAACTTGCAACGTTATTTTTAGTGGATACAGCCGGGAAGCGTATATAGGTCTTTAATAAGCCGGTAGATGAAAATACTGTTTAATAAATAAACAGAGCATCTACTTAAATGAGTATCCACTAAAAATATGTTTAAAGTGATGAAATCAGTCTGATTAATAAATTTTAAAAAATTAAACACACACACACACACACACACACACACACACACACACACACACACACACACACACACACATATATATATATATGATAAAAATATAGTTCTAAAGTGTGCTATATTTATGGGTAAATGTGATCAATATCAGGGATAGGATGTGTGGAAATATAAATGTGGATTGAGGTCAACACTAGCAGCGACAGTCTGTTTCATGTTTAAATGCAATCTTCGTAGCCTGGAGTTTGCGTTTAAGCATGAAACTGTCTGTCGCCGCTGTGTGTTGACCTCAACGTCCACACGCGCACACACACACGCACACATATATATTCAAACATTTATTGTTAAATATAACAGTCAACGAATGTCTATTATGTTTGATCATGAGCCATTCTAAATTTCGTATATTTACCTTAAAGGCGTTAGTTAGATCGAGTGACAGAAGATAACTGATGACTGACATCCGTTAGACATGGCACGTGGAACAAGAACAGTCTACCCCAGCGAGAGAAATAAAGGGTTCAGTTCGACATTCCAACCACCTGAAGAAGGCCGGAGCGTACAAGGGTGATTAATATGATAGGCATTAGTACAACATGAATACCAATCCAATATAGGTATTATAAAACAATGATCCAGATGACTGGTGATAGCTTCAGCTTCCAGAGGATTAGAAATGTCGTTTTAAAATATAATTATTGTCATTGCCGTTTTTGTAAAAATTGTATAAAGTTGCTAATTTATTTATGAACATCAATACTTTTAAAAACATTATCAGCCCTTCTGACTAATACTGAGATAATTTTAGACACGATATATCGTGATATGAATTTTTAATGCCGTTGCATTTCTCTTTGAGAATTTTGCGTTACAAATTTTAGGCTAATATGAACACCATTTGTCACGCATAAAAAATTTCCAGCAAGGATACCTTTTCGAATAGAAACCCACCTTGTTGTGTGACGTAAAACCAAATTACACACCTGCTAATCCGCAAGTTCTGCCCTGGGTTGAATTGACGTTTTAGGAAATTCTACCTTTTTTAAGTTTTTCTTTTTCCTTATTTTTTAAATAAAAAAATTTGATGTTGGACGTTTACAGACAAATCTTGTGCTTTAAATCACTTCCTCATGAATATACTGCTTTCATGTTGTTGTTTTTGTTATTATTATACTTCATAATCTATTTAACAGTCTCGTTGTTATGGATATGGGTGGTGCGATAGCTGATAGAGTAGAAAATGAGTTGTTTCATTTCGCACTAATGCCCTTGGGAAAGACATGAATCCACTTTTTCCGCCGAGCTATGAATTACATAGCAGGACAGTATTAGATTGCAACCAATCTAGAAGATGGACAACTCTGAATTCGAAACCTTGTTGAACCTGCACTATCTTCTCCAGGATCAGTGATGACAATCCGCAGATATTAAAGAAAAGGAAGCTGTGGAGATCACTGATCACCTACAACTTGAAGAGACATGACACTTAAAGATGAGGATTTTCTTTAATCCTACGGTATGCAAAAACTAGTTCTAGTATTCCATTTTTTCGCAAAACCAACTGAAATTTCTATCCACTGATGCTACCCACTGATCCATCAATGATTTCGATGGAACTAATTTGGTTGGCACTTCCAATGATTCAGCATATTGAGTTATTTAGGACATCACCAGGTCAATGGGGGTTACTTCGTGGTGTCCATCATTCCCGGCAACACGAGACAACATAATTGGTTACATGATAGAAAGTGCAAGAAAGAATCGCAGACCTGCATGTTTCTCCATCGAATATTGTGACATGTCAGTGATGAGAAACTTTTCATGACAGTTGGTGATAAAACAGAACGCAGGAAGTGGTTTCATGCCTTTCGTGGGCATGACTTTACCGTCACACCACTCTTCACTTGCTTATTCTATTTAATGGCATTAAATGCCTATTTGATGGCCCTTTTAATGGTCAATTTAATTACCCATTTTAATGGTTCAGTTAATGGCCTAAATTTAACATTTCTGCTAAGTTGAGATATACTTTCTTTAACTAGCATTTGACGAGTAGTTTACATAAAGTTGTTAAAAATAAATAAAGGTGTAAACAGACTTGCCTTTAAAACAATTCAATTGTATTTTCCCTAGAATTATTAAAAGATACGTTTTTTTTCTTGTCCTCTTTGCAAATTGCAAAAGTCGCACCGGATATTTTGCACTGGTTCAACCTGCCGCTGCGCCTCTCCTCCTCTGCCTTCTCTCTCATTTTTCCTCCGCTTCCCCATCTAATTTCCTCCTTCTTCCTGCTTCGTCCTCCTCCTCTTGTTCTTCGCTGTTTTTATGCCACTCTCTCGGTTATTTTCCTTCTTTTTTTTTATTACAGACACAGAAGAAGAGGAGGAGTGAAGTGATGCCGGTTTAAATTACCTGGTATGTTTGTAAGGTTTGTGAGTGCATAAAACTTTAACCAAATGTTACCACGACGTATGCGATTAATAGACGTATGCAATTATGATATGGGTCATGGTGACACATACACACAGACACACACACACACACAGACACACACACACTATAACATAGACATACACGGAGACAGACAGACAAAGAGTTATAGAGGATGGGTACTTATAAAATATTAAGCGTAGAGTTGTCCGGTACAGGATGTGGAGGTAGTGTAATGGTTATCGGCGAGGGTAGTGGAATTGGCTGAGTTCAGTTCCCAGGCTAGGCATTTAAATTAATCCCCTTCCCCTCCAAAAAAGCATGAATCCTTATTTTGGGGCGGAAAGAAGGACAACTCTGAATTTAAAACCAGTATGAAGATTGATGATCTCCGTCAGGTTCTATTGCCTTAGACACACAACTGCTGTTACAGATACAGTACATGTGCTGTCCTCTAAGAATTCATAATGTAACCTGAGTCTGACACAAAGTCACAACTGAAGGTCGCCGAATAGAGATCTAACTCACTACAGTAGTAATGGTGTATAAGACTAGCTCATTAACCATCACATAACGATAGACATTCTATGTACAAGTCTGAGTTCGGGTAGATCAACATTTTAAAAATCCAATGCTTCTTTGAAACGTTTTATTCACATCAATCCTTTTTTTACTTAAAAGACGCGGTAAGTGTACAAATGGCAGGTTGTTGAGTTGCCACAATGTAAACTAAAGCTGTAACTCACAACTTGGAAGATCAGCGCAATACAAATACAAATTCCTAATTTTTGGCTTTTTCTTTATTAAGATAAATAAATTTCAATAGGGACCTACTTGGTGGCTGACATAGTTGCGTATTTAACGAGTTTTCGACTTCCAATTTTTAAAGTAGACGATAAGTTAGTCTTTAATTGTAAGATTGGCGCAACACAGTTTTTCTACCTTTATTTCTCTGATATAACCTGTAAGGCTAAGTTAAAAGAAGTATATAGACAGATGGGAATGAAAGAGAGAGAGAGAGAGAGAGAGAGAGAGAGAGAGAGAGAGAGAGAGAAAAGTATTTATGTAGAGAGAGACGGATGAGAACGAGGAAGTATATATAGAGAAGGAGAGATGGAAATGAGTGAGAGAGAAGTATATAAGGAGAGGGAGAAACGGATGGGAATGAGAGAGAGAAGTATATATGGAGAGAGACAGATGGGAATAAGAAAGGTGTATATATGTAGAGAGAGAGAGAGGTAGAGGGAGAAAATATATATGGAGAGAGAGAAGTATATTTGTAGTGAAAAACAGATGGGAACGAGAGAGAGAGAGAATGAGAAGTATTTATGTGTAGAGACGGATGGAATGAGAGAGAGTGAGAGTAAGAGAGAAAGAGAGAAGTATATATCCAAAAAGAAAGGGATAGCAATGACAGACAGGTGCATATGTAAAGAGAGACAGATGGCAGTGAGAGAGAGAGAGAGAGAGAGAAAGTATATATAGAGAAAAACAGATGGGAATGAGAGTGAGAAGTATGTATGCAGAGATTGAGAGAGATGCGAATGAGTGGGAAGTATATATGTAGAGAGAGACAGATGGGAATGAGAGAGAGAAGTATTTATGTAGATAGAGACAAATGGGAATGAGAGAGATATATACATAGAAAGAGAAAGACAGATGGGAATGAGAGAGAAGTATGTATGCAGAGAGAGAGAGACGGAGAGAGAGAGATGGGAACGAGAGGGAGGTATATATGTAGAGCGAGACAAATGGGAATGAGAGAGAGAAGTATTTATCTAGAGAGAGAGAGAGATGGAAACGAGAGAGAGAAGTATATATATACAGAGAAATACAGATGGAAATGAGATATATATATATATGTAGAGAGAGACAGGTGGGGATGGAAGAGGGAGAGAGAATTATATATATATAGAGAGAAACGGATGAGAATGATAGAGAGAAGTATATATCTAGAGAGAGACAGATGGGAATGAGAAAGAGAGAGAGAGAGAGAGAAGTATATATGTAGAGAGAGACCGTTGGGACTGAGAAAGAGAGAGATAAGTATATATGGAGAGAGAGAGAAAGATATATATAGAGAGAGATGGGGAGAGGGACGATGTTATTCAGGAAGGGCCTTTCCCACGAACTCAACGAATGAGTCATCAGAAGAAAAACTGAAATGGGGCATAAAGAATAGTGTAAACATAAAACTATCCCCCAATGATGACTGCCCAGCAAGGAGTTGTATCCTGAGACCTCATTCAATATATATATATATATATATATATATATATATATATATATATATATATATATATATATATATAATATCTTTTTTTACCCTCCCCACTTATATATATATATATATATATATATATATATATATATATATATATATATATATATATATATAAAAGTGGGGAGAGTAGAGAAAAGAGAAATACAGTTACACTCGAAATCATTCATATCCACTCTAAAATTTGTGAATTTTGGAATAATTTACATTGCTTTATTCATGACGCAAAGTAACAGAAAGACAAAAAAAAAAAAAAAGAAGAAGAAGAAACAATACGCAAAGAAAATAAGGAAAACTCTATTTCCTTCTAATATGATGTACAATTTGAAAAGCGTGTTCAAAATTATTCATACCCATACTCTACAGATCGGAAGTGAACGATAGAGGAATGCATCTGAATTTTCTCCTTAATATTAGAGAGTTCCCCCTCTTCATTTAAAATGAAAGTAAATAAGCCTAGCACGTTAGTGAAGTGTGATTTGTTTAACCACTCGAGTTATACCGAGAGAAGCATTTGCAATCTGCATTATTTCTCGTTAGAAGGAAATCAGTCGCCATGTCTAAGATTAAAGAAAGATTAGGGCCTCAAATTTAGGATCGTAACTAGCCAAAATGTCAAGTAAACCTAGAATGCTATATGATTGGGTTTGTTTTGTTTTGTTTTACGGCCTATCAACCTCAATGGGTTAATTAATGTTGACATATTTTGTTTTTTGTTTTTTATTGCTGGCAATATTTTTTTTTTTTTGCCAAAAATGTTTTGCTGGTAATAATTTTTCCAAATAAGTATTGCTAGTATTGAGGTATCGATTTTCAAATTCTTAGTAATCTCTTCAACAGAAATCTTCGGTTTATTCTTCACAATGGCAAGCTGAGCGTCTTTATCGACGTCGAAAGGTGCTACCTATTTCTATATTTTCATAGTCTTTCTTCAGATACCTTGTTTCGGTCTTCTGTCGATGTCAGCAAAAAGAGAAAAAACATTCTTTTAATGAAAATATTTTTTTAAAATTACAAATTTTTGAATGGGTATGAACTATTTTCTAGTACAATATAAACAGAGAGAGAGAGAGAGAGAGAGAGAGAGAGAGAGAGAGAGAGGAGAGAGGAGCTGAAAGGGTTTTTCAGTGATTCTTATGACACATGGTGTCAAGATGGCTAAACGTCTTATCTGAACAAAATCTGTTAAAAAAGAAAACTCAATTGGTCTTGTGTTTTTTACATATTAAACATTTTGTGGGATGGACAATTATGCTGTTACACGATTTGGACAATTTTGCTGTTACATATATATATATATATATATATATATATATATATATATATATATATATATATATATATATATATATATATCCGATAATTGCAAAGGTTTGTACGCGATTTTCATTTGTAACTTGACACTGGTGTTAGTTTTGCTGCCAATTTCTTGTATGTTCCAAACTGAAAACTTACATTGTTCGGTTACGAATTCCTTAAAGATATATTAAGCTCTATGAATTTCGGAAAGGAGTAAGTGTCGAAACGGCAACAAAAAACATTCAGTAGGTTTATTTGGATTGTCCTTCATCTCTTTGGACGCTCAAAATGTGGTTTGGCAGATTTTCTCAGAGTGATTTTAATTTAACGATCAACCACACTCCGGGCGACCTTTCGACGTCGATAAAGACGCTCCGCTTGCCATCGTGAAGAATAAACCGAAAATTTCTGTTGAAGAGATTACTAAGAATTTGAAAATCGATACCTCAACTACCTTTTGCTGTTTGGTGACACTTGCGTTCGCTTCTAAACTCGATATTTGGGTGACACATTCTTTGAAGGAACAGAACAGGCTTGATTTTCTTTCTGTGGCGATTTCTTTGCTGTTACGCCACGATAAGAATCCGTTTTTAGACAGAATTGTCACAGATGATGAAATGTGAATGTGCAGAACCCATGGCTAATACAGATTTGTATCCAATGATGGCTTTACTGTCCGTTGTTTAAGATTGCAGATGTGATAATTTACTTTGAGCTTCTTCCAGCCGGAGAAACCATAACTGCGAAGAAATATTGCGGCCAATCTACATGCGGTCGCTCAAGAAAATAACCAATTTTGGCAAATCGAAAAGATGTCATTTTCCATGACAACAATGCAATACCGCATGTTGGAAAACAGACCTTGTATAAGCTTAAAAATTTGAAATGGGAAAGGCTCCAATGCCCGCCGTATTCTTCTGACTTGGCACCTTCAGATTCTCATTTGTTCTGGTCTCTACAGAACAATTTAAATTATAAAAAACTTGACTCTGTAAATTCAGTCGAAAACTAACTCACAATCTTCTTTCAACAAAAAACACGAAGTTTCTATAAAAATGACATCTACAGGCTTCTAGAACGATGGAGAAAAATTTAATTTTTTATTAATATATATATATATATATATATATATATATATATATATATAATAAATAAAAGAAAGAACAGTAAGATATATAATCCGGTGTTCTTATAGATATTTTTATTTTTACAAAATAGTGCTCAATGTAAATTTACAGAGCATTAATATTATAAATTAATTGATTTAAAATATGGTTTTTCCGCTACACAGTTCTAACCATGTTTCAAAAATGGAAGCTAAAAGCCCCGAATTTAATTTTGTAATTAAATTAAAGACATTAGTTCCATTTCATCCTCAAGCGAATTTTGGAGTAACTTTTAAAATTACTGGGTTTTAAATATACAGCTAAAACAAAATTCATGTTTCCAAGGTTACAGATAAATCTATTTTGCTAGACAAAGGGGTGTCTGGGTGTTCAATATGTCTATATTTTAATGTATCAGTTATTGCTACGTTTTGGTAGTGGGTAGGGATGTATTTTTCAATGAAATCTAACATCCGTTAAAAGCGTGTCGTCTGGATTTTCTTAAAATTATATTGTTAACGGCTAAAATTCTTACGGCATTTTTTTCCTTCGTATATTTAAAGATTTTTGGGGGGTGTTTAGGTAAGAATACTTTTTATTTAACTACGATTTGAAATATTTTTACTTTTAATTTTTAATATACTATATTTCTTTCAAGAACAATTAAATGTAATTTGAACCCCTTACAGTTTGTAGAATTATTATCACATCAAGTATATTACGATTTTTTAAAATTTTATATTTAAATATTACTAAAGTAAAATTTTCATTTCTCTGATTTAGTAAACTTTATTTATTTATTTAATTACAATTTAAAAGAAGTTTAGGTTAGAATTCATTTTAATTAACTACAATTTTAATTACAACTTTAAAATATTTTCATTATTAGTTTTTATAGACTATATTTCATTTAATAGAAGTAAATGTATTAGAGTTACTTACAGTCAGTAAAATTATTTTTCTACATCAAGTATATTTATATTACGATTTATAAAAATTTTATATTTGAATATTTTTTAAGTAAAATTTTTTATCTTTACGGCAAAAATAGCTAATTCATTTCTCTGATTTAGTAAACGGATGTTAGATTTCATTGAAAAATACATCCCTACCCACTACCAAAACGTAGCAATAACTGATACATTAAAATATAGACATATTGAACACCGAGACACCCCTTGTCTAGCAAAATAGATTTATCTGTAACCTTGGAAACATGAAATTTGTTTTAGCTGTGTATTTAAAACCCAGTAATTTTAAAAGTTACTCCAAAATTCGCTTGAGGATGAAATGGAACTAATGTCTTTAATTTAATTACAAAATTAAATTTGGGGCTTTTAGCTTCCATTTTTGAAACATGGTTAGAACTGTGTAGCGAAGAAAACCATATTTTAAATCAATTAATTTATAATATATATATATAATTGTGCATTTTATATCTATGGATGTATATATATGTTTTCGTTAAAGACAATTGACAAGGTACTGCAGTTAAACTTTTTATTTAATTTTTCTTGTGTTTGTACAAGTTTTTTTTTCTTTTCTGGACATAAAAATCTACACATTCAGTTAAAATCTGAACCAAAAACATCCTTGATAATGGCTAAAAGGGTACCCGAATACGCCCGGATATGCAGAACATACAAGGCACTGCGGTTAAACTTTTTATTTAATTTTGCAATAATTTACATAAAAATCAATATAAAATAATTATAATTTCAATTAAAAAAAATTTATATTTTCATTTCATCAAAGAATTCGCCATGAGCATTTATTACTGGCATCCTTTTTAGTAACTTGTAAAAGTATATTGATAGAAGTGTTTCCTAAGCAGTGTGTTAATGTGTGAACAACTCTTGCCTATTTTTAGGCACTTCACTCCGAACTTTACGATCAATTTCGTCCCAGATTTGTTCAATTGGTGAAAGATCTGGAGACTGAGGGGTAGGTGGCAAGTCATTATTTACAAAATTCCCCTATCTTCCATTGATTTTTAGATAATTTATACAAGGTTCTGGGGCATGTTTGGGGGTCATTATCTTGTTGAAAAACAAAATTTTGTTCAATAATGCAGCAGCCAGACGGAATTGCAGTATTGTATGATATTCTTCCTTTCGTATAATGCATTTAATTTGAAGAAAGTCTCCAGCAATCTCACCTCCAAAACATACTCAAACCATTACAACACCGCCACCCCCACCACCTTCACCATCAGTTGGTACAATGCAATTTTCCTCCATTCGTACGGAAGAAGTTCATCTGACAAACATTTTTCGTTTACTTTCTAAAAGTACAAATGTGGCCTCATCAGTCTATAATAACTTTTTCTAATCATCTAAATCCTTGTGCTGCTATTTTAGTCTTTTAAACTTATTTTCCATTTTTAATAGAAGTTTCTTAACTGATGCACATCCCTTAAGTCCAACAGAAAGAAATCTTATCTTAACTAAGACACATCCTTT